GATGATACCACAACCACGTGACTTTTCTATTGTATTGTGCGCGGTGCTCTCAGCACCACAGCGCGTGGATTTGTAACGATTTGTAACGTTTTGTTTCTTTTGTTTGCTGGTGACTTTGTGTATTTCATATTGAAATCGCCTCCAGTGCTTCTGCTGCTGGCGGCAATAAAAGTTGTTTAAAGTCAAAAGTCTCTCTCTCTCTCTGCCCCTCTACAAGGTGGGAGGCTAGCATAGGAATTGAACAAGCAATTGCACAGCTGCGCCTTTACGTGTATGTATGTTGAACTTCTTTCGCACCGTACGGAGGCCAACCGTGCTAATCGGAGGTGAGCGGGGGAAGGTTTGGGTGGGGGTGGGGTTGGGGGGGGTGTTGGTGGAGGTAGGAGAGAGGGGAGGGTTCAGGTTTGAACATGTTGCGACTACCATGGACACGCGTTCAAAAGGTTTACAAGACTATTTCCATTCTCGTCACGTGATCATCTTGAATGTGCCGGCTCAAAACAAACCACCGAACACATCTCAACTGAGCAACACGCGAGGCATTGATTTATTTATTTTAAAATACATTTCTCCCCCTGGTAAGTTTAAAAATGCCATCGCTATACACGACAGCAGTCTTAAATATAATCACATTATTAGTTAAGGTCATCGGTTTTCGGTGAGTTCCACGGACGGAACATTGACAGTTTTAACACCGAGTCGGCTTTCGCAACCATTGACATCCATAATAGAGGTGTTTTGTTTGGGGTTAGATCGCGAAACAGGAGGATTACCCCACAAGATCTGTCTGTCCGCCCGATGATGCCGAAACGTCGTACTCAGATTGTAAATGTTGTGGATTTGCTCTCCAACACGCAACCGGTGGTGCTGTACTAGTAACGAATTGGCCACGTTCTGTTTACGTGACAACCCTTACTGATTGACTGTGTCGGGTGGTGGCGGGTTTAACGACACACATTTATATATTTAAGCGATCTAACTCACACACACAAAAACACCTGTATTATAGAACATCTTTAAACGAAACTCTTTCACAGCTTCTTCCCACGGCAGTCAAAGCGAGAGTGGGACAATCTTTCACCCCTCTACACTACTTCATCTCTGAACGCCGCGCACCTAGCCTGGCACAGGCACTGATAATGACGGCACGACGTCCGACGTTTCGCTCCACGTGCCGGAAGCTTCTTCGGGGGGGGCGGGGGGGGGGTGAATGAATACGCCGTCTCGTGTTGTATGTTAAACTTCTTAATTCTAGATTTGAAGCTTTCGTGACTGCAAGGATTCATACTCTTAGTTCTTTCGGTAAAGTCACGTAGGTAAAAAATGAAATTAAAATTAATAAAGAATAAAATATAATTCACGAAGTTTCGGAGGCAACACAAGTCTCCGTCATCAGGTGGGACCGTCACAGCCAGATTTGCGTCGTGATTTTTATTTCATTTTTTATTAATTTTTATTTAATTTTTTACCTACGTGACTTTACCGAAAGAACTATGAGTATGTTAAATTTCTTCTTTCGCGCACCCGTACGTAGCCATGCGTGCTAACCGGAGGTCTGTGTGGGAGGTAACGCAAGTAACTCGGAAATAGCTCAATACCCGTGCATACCTGGGGGGCTTACACGGGTACCCGGAGGTCACGAATCGCTCGTGCGTCTATTTACTTGTTCTTTTTAAATCCTTTATATTAAGTTCGCTTGCTTGCTTGCGTGCTTGCTTGCTTACGACCGTGCAAATCTTTCGGTCGTTTTTTAACCCACTTCCCGTCATCCAATCGAGCTGACATTTTGCACACAGACTCGTTGTGCGTGACAATTAATTTTCGTGAAAAAATGTATCCCAAATTTTACACTGTTTAGGGAAAAATAATTAAATATTTAATTACCAATTGCTTAATGGTGGCAGACAATCATCTGACCCATAGGTGGTAGCCATCTCAAGCCAGCGGACGAGAGGGCTCTAGCCGCCACGCATATAAAGGATTTAGAGTGAAAAACTTTGTTTTTACGGGTTAATTTTTTCCTTTTACTCGACCAGCTAAGGCCCACCGAGCAATGCAGCTCGTTTACAGAAGCGACCTGGCCATATAAATGTAAGCTCGACGACAAAACGGCTCCCCCATCGCGTGGAAATTTACAGCAGCCAAAACCTCTGAGCGCGTGACGTTCTTCACGCAGCAACCGACTGGCTGGCGATTGGCGACAACTGGCTTGCCGCACACGTGGCCTGCAAACCAGTCACCGTGGGTGGCAGCGAGGGTCGGTGGTTCACCGCACAGACGTTGTCCTGACGGAATTTCTATGGCGCCTGAACCAAAGGCGCTTTACACAGAATTAACGACGGCACGACGTACGAATGTCGTGGTCGTGGTGGTGGTAGAAGTGGAAAAAATAAAATAAGAGGAAGCAATGTGGGGTGTAATCTGTGAAGATGTGTGAATGCGGTGAAAGCGAAGTTGATGATAGCGAATGATTAATGGATTTAATGATTGGGGTTACATTTCTCTACACACACGCGTGACGTTGATTCTAAATGTGGAGCGAAACACTGGAGGACCCGGAGAAAAATTCACACGACGACCACGATGAGAGACACCGCCAACTCCAAATATACAGCAGCAGGCGTCAGGGTCAGGATCGAACCCACGACCTCCTGTAGAACAGGCGAGGTGGTTAACATCTCCTAGCCACCGTGATGATGAGAGAGAGACACGCAAACTCCAAAAATACAGCAGCAGGCGTCAGGGTCGAGATCGAACCCACGACCTCCTGTATACCAGGCAAGGTGGTTAACATCTCCTAGCCACCGTGATGATGATGAGAGAGACACGCAAACTCCAAATATACAGCAGCAGGCGTCAGGGTCAGGATCGAACCCACGACCTCCTGCATACCAGGCGAGGTGGTTAACATCTCCTAGCCACCGTGATGATCGTGAAAGAGAGACACGCAAACTACAAACATACAGCAGCAGGCGTCAGGGTCAGGATCGAACTCATAACCTCCTGCATGGAGGGGGGGGGGGTGCAGAGCTTTATCCGGGAACTCGAGTTTCCGGCCTGACTAAGCAGAAGTTCTTCCGTTTCCTGCCAGCAAGGCCCCCGGCACCGCGCGGCGTAAAACGTCGGACGTCGTTCCGAGCGACGCGTTGGCGAGAGGAGGTCACGAACGACAGGGGAGGGAACAAAACAAATGAACCCGTAAAAACAAAGTTTTTCGCTATAAATCCTTTATGTGCGTGGCGGCTAGAGTCCTCTCGTCCTCTGGCTTGAGATGGCTGCCACCTATGGGTCAGATGATTGCCTGCCACCATTAAGCAATTGGTAATTAAATATAAAAAAATGTCAGCTCGATTGGATCACGGGAAGTGGGTTATAAAACGACCGAAAGATTTGCACGGTCGTAAGCGCGCAAGCAAGCAAGTGAACTTAATATAAAGGATTTTTTAAAAATCACCGATGGCGCACGTCGAGCGAGCCGTGGAACGCAGTCACGGTTTCACACAAAAAAAAAATCCCCCAGCGCGTTTCATGGGACTCGGGGTCCGCCTTCTCTTCATCCCGGGGGGGGGTCGGCAACGAAAATAACGACAAGAGGCAGTGTGTGTGTGTGTGCGTTAAGCCGAATTCGGTACAACCAAAAAAACACCTCCGTGTTTTTCAGAGCCGCGACTCCGCGTCAATAACGTGACGAGGCCGTCATTTAAAGAGCCGCAGATTTGCAGACCCCCCCTCCTCCTCCTCCTGGGTTTTCCTGTCCACGGCTGCCCCCCCCCTACCTGGTTCTGCAATACGAGATGCGCCCGCTTCGTCCGCTCCAACGCGGTTCGGCAGACGCGATGGAGTCACCGAAGCGAGCCGCGTCTTTACCACCTGCTCACGTGGTCCCGGTATTGCACGCGACGTGAATTTGTCGTCATCCTACACATTTACCGGACTAGTTGTATTTGACACGATACATGGCTGGGGTTGATGTAAGGTGACAATACAGTAAAAGGATGGGTGTCGTATTACGAACCGTGAACCAACCTCCCCCCACCCCCCCTGAGTTTTCCCCACAATGCCTTTGAGTTTGCAGTTCGCAGATTTTGCAGATCGCGGATTTTGCCGACTGCGGCTATTTTCAAGGACGTAACCGGACCCGCCGCGGCGGGCGATGGGGGTTTTCCGGATTGAGCACAAACACAAGTCGGGTCGCCCTCAAAGCCAGAAAGTTTCGTCCGCTGCTGGCCTGCGCCTCTCACAGCCTCGACAATTTTCATCGGGGGGGGGGGGGGGGGTTCCTACGCATCTCCCAGTGCGTTGACTGCCGCCAAAGACGCGGTCAGCGGCACTGTTAACCCCTTTGCGGGCCCCGTTCCCGTCTGAATCTCGGGCCGCACATGCGGCTCTGCGTTCTTCTTGGTTCTTTCGGTAAAGTCACGTAGAATGGAAATAATAAAATAATAATAAAACATAATAAAATAATTATCACGACGTTTCGGCCACAAAGAATTATTTAATTGTTTTATTTTTATTATTTTATTATTTCCATTCTACGTGACTTTACCGAAAGAACCAAGAAGATGAATCCCTGCAGTCACGAAAGCTTTAAATCGAAATTTAACGGCTCTGCGTTCGTTTTACTCAGAGGGGCCGTAGCGCCGTTGTTCTTAAAGACATTGTTACTCACCGCAGAGAACTGTAGCGAACCGCCCGCAGCTCTACGATAGCCGGCACCAAACCGTGCCACATGCCGAGCCTCGGTACCGATAAACTTATTTTATTTCATAATTCCTGTTTCTGTTGATGATTTTAACGTACGTCATCGTAACGGAATCAGATGGAAAAAACTGATGACGTCCACGTACGTCATCGGAACAGGAAAGGGTTCATATATCTTCTTGGTTCTTTCGGTAAAGTCACGTAGAAGGGAAGTAATAAAATAATAAAAATAAAACATAAAATAATTCTCACAACGTTTCGGCCATAACGCAAGCAGCCGTCCTCACCTCACCTGAGGACGGCTGCTTGCGTTGTGGCCGAAACGTCGTGAGAATTATTTTATTATGTTTTATTTTTATTATTTTATTACTTCCCTTCGACGTGACTTTACCGAAAGAACCAAGAAGGGTTAATATAACCGCGCGCGATTGGCCACATCCCTTTACGACCGTCTGCCTGGCCAACCGGATTACGTTTCATCTGCTCAAACCCGAGCTATTGATGCTGTGATATTTACATTGCCTTTGCGCTGTCCGCCTTTTGGCGTTGTTCTCTGATCTAACACCAGTGGGAAGGCCCTAAAGGAGGCCGTCTCTGGCGTAGGCCAATCCGTTTCAAAGACAATGCCATCTATTATCAGTGCATGTTTGTTTTGCATATTTTACCACAAATGCGTGTGGTTAATGCAGACTTGATGCCTTGCAATAGGTGTGTGTCTATTTGGTGTTTGAACACCTTGTCACCTCCTGATTTATTGCCAGGAAGGCAAAAAAAAAACTATTCTTTTTTTATCGGGATACGTTTTGTTAAGTTTCAACTCAAAAAAACGTTAAGTCTCTTTGCGACGACAAATATATAGAAATATATACGAACACCGCTGGTCACGTTGGTTACATTATTGTAAAAGAAATTCACAAATTTGATCGACGATTTTTTTTTAAGACGACCAAGCCGAGGCGCTGGAGCCGGCACCGCTGAGAAGTCCGGGTTCCAATCCTGCCCTGCAATGAGAACCAGACTTCTCAAGTCTCGCGAGGCGATGGCCCTCAGCCTGGTCGCCAATTACTTTGTGTAAAAAAAAAAACATAACCACGATTACATTCAATTTGGTTCTGCACTTAGTTTAGCCGAATTCCACCCCTGACAATTCACGATATCATTTTGGTTGTCGCGTGGACGAATATTTTCTCTGCAGCAGGGGCAGGCAAGAAAGTACCGCCCTGCCCCCCCCCCCACCCCCATAGTGTTTCAATTCATTTTTTAAAAAGTTACTATGAAGGGATCTCACAAGATGTTCTATGATATCCGCTTCCGCAGGCCATTCAAAGACAAAAGATCCCCCCGTATAGCCTGAACAGACTGTTTGGAGCGAGTGCTGTTATAGCGAGCACCTATCAAGGACCACTCTCACGCACACACACACGCGCGCGCGCACACGCACGCCGTTCTGGGTTTTAATACAAAGGGCGGCTGAAACCGGGCGTCAAACCCAGGGAATGCCAGCTCAGTGTCTCTGACCCCTGAGCCAAACGGCCCGTACCTGGGCTCAATAAACCCGACGCAGCAACCAATGTTTGGGCTCGCCAGTGGGCAGGCTAGCGGTGTAAAAAGCTAAACTCATAACTATTTTTATTTTACCGGCTAAGGCCCACCGAGCTGTATAGCTCTCTTTCAGAATTGAACTGGCCACAATTTACAGCTCCACCAAAGTGGCTTATCATCATCATCGTGGAAATTCATCGCAGCCAAATACTCTGAACGTGCGACGTTGATTCTGAATGTGGAGGGGACAAAAATCCGGAAGATCCGGAGAGAAAAAAAAAATCCGAGCGACCACGGGGAGAGAGAAACGCACCTCGAAATACACAGCAAGCGTCAGGGTCTGGATCGAACCCCACGACCTCCTGCACACCAGGCGAGATAGTTAACATCTCCTAGCCACCGTGATGATGATGATGAGAGACATGCAAACTCCAAATATACAGCAGCAGGCGTCAGGGTCTGGATCGAACCCCACGACCTCCTGCACACCGGGCGAGATAGTTAACATCTCCTAGCCACCGTGGCAAAGCAGGGGAGAGAGAGCGAGCCCCTAGGGCTAATGCAGGGAGAGGTGGGCGAGGTGGGCACATGTTTCCATGTTTCTCGTCGGCCTCTCCTCTGGAGGGAGAAGACGGGGGGGCTGGAAACAGCTGGGTACTCAGGCACGCAGTTGATGTCGGGTAGTCCGCAGCCTGTTCTGCCGACGGTACTGCGCCGGCTGAAGGGGCAACCCGAGTAGCTGTAGTCCTTGCGCAGCGTGGCAGGGCTAAGCAGGTAGCACGCTGGGTCTGGTGACGAGTCCTCGGGCTAGCGCGGGGGTCGGCAATGGAAATAACATTTTTTTTTTATTCGGTAAAAATAAAATCGATCTCTCAAGAGCCGCGCAATGCACGTGGTCAATACGAGATGGTGGTGGTCCTCAATAAATAACGTACACGAAGCGCTTCCTCTAAAGGGCTGCATGCTGCTCAAGAGCCGCAGGTTTTGCCGACCCCTGGGCTAGAGCCGGTAGTGCAGAGTGGGTCACGCGCCTTAGCTGGGAAGGCTAGCCGGCGGGACTGGCCGAGCGTCAGGTCTGTGTGCTGATAGGTGCGGGGTGGCAGGGCTGAGTTGGTAGGGTCAGGTCCTGGTACAACAGGGTGGCAGGGCTGAGCTGGTAGTGCAGAGTTGGTACTCAAGGTTTTTTTTTTTTGAAAAATTATTGTGAATCTGAGTCCACGAGTCCTCCGTTCAATTGTGCTTCTCGATTTGCATCGGTTGCCGCTCCCGGCACTTGTTTTTACGCTTGTGTGAGGCACGACATCGGCGTAATGAATGATGATGATGATGACAAGTCTTGGTTGAGGATAGCTGGGCTTTGTTGGTAGCTAGTTGCGGGCCGAGTTCTGAGTCATTGTGTCGAGTGGCTGGGCTAGGCTGCGAGTGAAGGTTCAGCGTACGGAATGCCGAGCTCCCGAGGCCTCGTACAGGCTGGCCGGGCTGGCTGGAAAGTTCCCGCGTGGCTCCCGCGTGGCTCCCGCGTGGCCCCCGCTAGGCCCTGCGGTAGTAGCGCCAGGCGACCACCAACCCGACCGCCACCGCCGGCGCCAGCCACAGCCAGCAGCAGCTGGAACCACACGGAGCCGGCGCAACAGCGCGACGGGGAGACGGACGTTAGCCACGGTTCATCATCGTCATCATAATCATCATGGTCGTCATAATCGTCATCATGGTCATCATCGTCGTGGTCATCGTCGTCGTCGTCGTCATCATCATCGTCATCGTGGTCATCATCGTCGTGGTCATCGTCGTCGTCGTCGTCATCATCATCATCGTCTTCGTCGTCATTATCAGCCATCATCATCGTCGTCATTGTCGTCGTCATCATCATCGTCGTCATTGTCGTCATCATCATCATCATCGTGGTCATTGTCATCGTCGTCGTCATCGTCATCAGTCATCATCATCATCGTGGTCATCGTCGTCGTCATCATCATCGTCATCATCGGGAAATTTAGTTGCGACTAGGAGTCTACTACCGCTATTTTATTTTTTACCAGGTAAGGCCCCACTGAACTATGTTGTTCTTTTTCAGAAGTGACACTTGTACATAAATGATAGCTCAACAAAGTGGCCTATCATCACGTGGAAATCTAGAGCAGCCAAATGATGTGAACGCATGTCGACTGTAAATGTGGAGGGAGAAACCGGAGGACCCGGAGAAAAACCCACGCGACCACGGTAAGAGAGAGACACGCAAACTCCAATGATACAGCAGGCATCTGGGTCGGGACCGAATCCACGACCTCCTGCACACAAGGCGAGGGAGATAACATCTCACCACCGCGGTACCACCTACACCACTACTCCTCAGGCCACACTGCGAATACAATAATCGATTATAGGACGGAATCATGATCTCCAAACAACCCCCGGCCACCACAGTTAGATTACAAACTTTTCACAGCTCAAACGATGATGTAAACAATATCGACCTTGGTTCGGATCCGGGTTGCAGCCACTGCCCGTGATTATACCGAGTTCTCAACCAGTCATCACCAATGACTGAACAACAACAACAAGTTCTAAAAATTACATTCAATTAAATTGCGTTCTGCACTTCATTTAGCTCAATTCCAGCTGTGAGAATTAATCTGTAAGCAGGGGCGGGTGAGAGAAAGTGCCGCTCCCCGGACCGTGCGGACGAGAAGCGACGTGAAAGGTTCTGCGACGGATGCTTCCGGCCTCACGGCGCGAGTAAAAATTGTGTGGGGGGGTAATGACGAAAGTAAGAACAGATTAAATTTCGATTTAAAGCTTTCGTGACTGCAGGGATTCATCTTCTTGGTTCTTTCGGTAAAGTCACGTAGAAGGGAAATAATAAAATTAAAAAAATAAAATAAATTTCTTTTATTATGTTTTATTTTTATTATTTAGAAGGGAAGTAATAAAATAATAAAAATAAAACTTAATAAAATAATTATATTTTATTACTTCCTTCTACGTGACTTTACGAAAGAACCAAGAAATAAAACAACTTTTATTTTATTTTATAATGTAGAAGGAAGCAAAGACGTGAAACTTGCGGAGCACGCACCATTTGGCGGACCTCGGCGAGGAGCACCCCGGTATTTTCTTCGCCTAGAAAACAGAAATCGGGGGGGGGGGGGGGGGGGGGGGCGGCAGAGAGGTTAACTACCTCCCCTGGTATACAGGAGGTCGTGGGTGCGATTCTTACCCGGACGATGTCTGTTTGCATCTCTCTCTCTCCCTCTACCCCGTGGTCACGAGGATTTATCTCTGTGTCCGCCGTTTTTTTCCCTCCACATTTAGCATCAACGTCACGCGTTCCCCGAGTGTTTGGCCGCTGTAAATGTTCCACGTGACGATAAGCCACTTTGTCGCGCTATCATGATGTGTGGCGAGGTCACTTATGAACAAGTATAACCCGTAAAACAAAGTTTTTCACTATAAATCCTTTATATGCGTGGCAGCTAGAGTCATCTCGTCCTCTGGCTTGAGATGGCTGCCACCTATGGGTCAGATGATTGTCTGCCAGTATTATGCAATTGGTAATTCAATATTTAATTTGTTTTCCCTAAACAGTGTACAATTTTGGAAATTTTCACGAACATTAATTGTCTCGCACAACGAGTCTGTGTGCAAAATGTCAGCTCGATTGGATCACGGGAAGTGGGTTAAAAACGATCGAAAGATTTGCACGGTCGTAAGCAAGCAAGCACGCAAGCAAGCGAACTTAATATAAAGGATTTAAAAAGAGCTACGTAGCAGCAGCTCAGTTGGGGCCTTACCTGGTCAAATAAAATAAAAAAAATTGCAGTTTTAGTTTTACTAGTAGGAACCTCCTGGTTACACCAGCCCACAGGGAATTATTGTGTCTGTCCGTCGTGCATCCAAAAATGGGAGGGGTGGGGCTGGGTGGAGAGGGGAGGGTGGGGAGGGGCTGGGTTGGGAGGGTGGGAGGGGTGGGGCTGGGTGGGGAGGGGCTGGTCACCCCGTGGTGCCCTTATAAAACTCAACGTTTAACCTACTCACGCCCACTTGTGTCCGCCCTCACAGTCAGCCATATTTGCAGAATACACCACGCCGCCGTTGACCCTGGCCATTGACCGAGCAACCCAACGTTCCTACCAGCTCCCTCCGCAGAACAATGTGTTTAGGGCAACCGGGTCATCTCCCGCGCGAGAAGCAGCAGACTCGGCACGAAGCGCACACGGCGGTTCACCGGCACGAGGTGTCAGAGCCGAGCCGAGATTGGCAGTGCCAGCTTGGTGCTAAGTTCTCGCACGTCGATGGCTACACGAACGCCGCTCGATCAATTATCGAGACACTCCTCGCTCGATCGGGAAGGCGGCCGACCGCAAAAACACGCCAACAAGTACTACTGCTAACTACTATTTTTCTTTTACAGATGTCCAGTAAGTATTTTTTTTTAAGTCGAACTTGTAGTGCATCGAGTGTGGCACAGCAGGGTTAACATATTTGGTGCTGTCGGTGTGGACCAGAGGGATTTAGAACTCTGCGCGTTGATGCCTTTCTTACCTGCGGCCTTTCCGACGTTGACCCTTCCTGCAAAAGATAACCGACAATGTTAACCACGATGGTAACCACGATGGTAACGTACACACACACTTACCGCGTGATCTCACAACGCGTTTGTTCTACAAAGCAGATCTTCCCCAAGGGAACACTTTTCGCTGAGTTCAATTCCCACTCACAGCCAAGATTGTCGATGGATATACCTGAACCGGTTCTGGACCTCCCCTAGGTCGACTTGGCCTCAAATGAATACCTGGTGCGGTGTGAGGAAAAGTCGGCCAGGCGTGGTGTTGGTCACCCGCCTCTTCGTGTGGAGTGCCGGCCTTCGTAGGTGCTACTCGCTAACAGCACTTGCTCCAAAAGTCTGTTAAGGCTATAAGATAGGGGATCTTTGTTTTTGCGTCTGCTTGGAGTCTCTGTGCGAGTCTCTGTGTGAGTGAGTCTCACTGTGTGTGTGAGAGTCTGAGTGCATCCGAGTCTGTGTGTATCTCAGTGTGAGTTTGTGTGAGTCTGTGTGAGTCTGTGTGAGTCTGTGTGAGTCTGTGTAAGTCTGTGTGAGTCTGTGTGAGTCTGTGTGTATCTCTGTGTGTATCTCTGTGTGAGTCTGTGTGTATCTCTGTGAGTCTGTGTGGGTGGAGTCTGTGCGAGTCTGGCAGTGAGTCTACGGTTCTGTGTGCGATTCTGCGCAAGTCTCACACTGTGTGCGAGTCTGTGAGTCTGTCTGTAATTGAGTCTGTGAGTGAGTCTATGTGTGCGCGATTCTGCGCGAGTGAATCTCCGTGTGCGAGCCCGTAAGTGTGAGTCTGTGAACAGGTGTGCCTCCAAGTGCTCCTGGCCTGGCACAGGTGCCGTGGTCATGTCACCGCCACTCGGTGGGGATTGGCGGCCTCCGTTGTTGTTGTTGTGCACATACCGTTTCAAGCTCGCCGATGTAGTACTGCTGCATGATGTCGCGCGCGTCCCCCGAGTGACCCGCGTCCTCAAACGCCTCCGTCGCGTCCTTCCCAGACTTCTCCAGCAGCACGGACTCGCCGCCGGGGTGCTGGGGACCAACGCGGACAAGTACGGTCAAACACGCTCAACACGATCAACACCATCCCAGTCAGAAGCTTACGATTCAGTGCTGGACGAGGGGGAATCCGACAGGGCTGTGAAAACTCTTATTTTCGCACGCGTCCAGTGTGGGAAATTAATGCGTTGATTGTATAAGTCCGAATTATCAATCTTGAGCAAGGCAGCAGCAACAACGACAACAACAAAAGAGACACAGACCACACCAAGGCAACACACAGTAGCAGTCCCTCAATAAGATGGAATGTTAAATGGCAAGGATCAGCCTCGATCCGACATTTTCCTGACAACTGCTCTCGTCGGACACTGTTAGCGAGCATCACCTACGAAGGCCGGCATGGCGCACAAGGGGGTGGGCGGTGACCGCCAACACCACGCCCAGCCGCCTTTGTCTCCCCCAGTGACAATGTTTTATACACCGCACCAGGTGCTCATTTGAGGCCGAGTGGACCTATGGGCGGTGGTTGTTGGCCGGGAATCGAACTCGGGAGGCTGGGTTCGAGGCGCAGCACGCTAACCGCTACACAACCGTTCCCCGCAATTATTGACACACTCTGGCTACGAGGTTTAGGTTAATTAGTTTGCAATACGGGCAAACCGATGAAAACAGAATAGGCTCGACCCTTTTCCGGCAATAATACAGGAGGTGTTAAGATGTTCAAACAGCAAAGAGACAAAGCTATTGCACGGCTAAATTTCGATTTAAAGCTTTCGTGACTGCAGGGATTCATCTTCTTGGTTCTGTCGGTAAAGTCACGTAGAAGGGAAGTAATAAAATAATAAAAATAAAACGTAATAAAATAATTCTCACGTCGTTTCGGCCACAACGCAAGCAGCCGTCCTCAGGTGAAGACCAGGTCTGTCGGGGAGACAGCGTCTGAAGTCTTTCCGACAGACCTGTTCTTCACCTGAGGACGGCTGCTTGCGTTGTGGCCGAAACGTCGTGAGAATTATTTTATTATGTTTTATTTTTATTATTTCATTACTTCCCTTCTACGTGACTTTACCGAAAGAACCAAGAAGATGAATCTATTGCACGGCATCAAGTGGGCATTAAGCACACATCTTGCTTTTGCTAAGACGTGCAATCACACCTCCTTTGATAAATCTTTGCATTTGTCTTGGCAAATGATTAATCTACACCAGAGACGACCTCCTTTATAGCCATGTCTCACCAGTGTTCGACCAAAGGACACCAACAGGCAAAGACCACAAAGGATAAAGCCTATTAATTCTATCATGATTTGAAGCTTTCGTGACTATAGGAATCCATAATCTTTGGTTCTTTCGGTAAAGTCACGTTAGCCACGTAAGTGACTTTACCTATTAATTCTGTTCGTCATCTTCTTGGTTCTTTCGGTAAAGTCACGTAGAATGGAAATAATGAAATAATAAAAATAAAACATTATAAAATAATTATCATGACGTTTCGGCCACAACGCAAGCAGCCGTCCTCAGGTGGAGAGCAGGTCTGTCGAGTAGACAAACTTTACCGAAAAAACCAAGAAGATGAATCCCTGCAGTCACGAAAGCTTTAAATCGAAATCTGTTCGTCATTTTAATAAAGGCAAAGAGGGTCCCCAAATGATAGAGTCAAACCGATATTTTTATTATCCAAGTGTGGAATTTATGTGTTTTTGTGCGCAGTCATTGGAGGCCGGGCCACGTTAACACAAACTCGCCGCACGCGGTCATGGCTGGACGGGACCCAACCGGGACGCGTACCACCCCCAAGTTCGGTGACTCTGACCTCCAAACCACGCGCCGGTCACCTCATGGAACTCCCCCGTTTCACTTCGCTATTCAGGTGCAGGGTCTGAAAAATGCAGGTGGTGTTGGGACGGCTGGCTTCAAGGTCGGGGTGACCAATATAAGGTTTGAATTGGTCTATAGAAAGGTAGGCAGTAATAAGGGGTTGACAGGTATGTAGTAGTGTAGTGTATAGAGTAGTGTAGTGTATAATGTTGTGTATAGTAGTGTAGTGTATTGAGTAGTGTATAGCAGTGTCGTGTATAGTATCATACCTTAATTCTAGATTTGAAGCTTTCGTGACTGCAAGGATTCATACTCTTAGGTTTTATCGGTAAAGTCACGTAGGTAAAAAGTATCATACCTGTCAACCCATACAGTTTACCCCGTATTCTTGTACAGGGAGATTGAATGTTCAGGTCCATACGGCGTACAGCCGTTTCAATACAGGCAAAATAAGTGTGTGTCTCTGTGTCTCTCTCTCGAGGAATGTCGTCCCCACGAAATCGAGGAATCGAATCACCCCGAGGTCAAGGAAGTCGGCCCGGGTATCCGAGACACCTACAAAGACAAAGCTCCCCCGTGTAGCCTTCAACAGACTTCTGAGGGCAAGTGATGTTAGCGAGTAGCACCTAGCAAAGACAAAGCTCCCCCGTGTAGCCTTCAACAGACTTGAGGGCAAGTGCTGTTAATAGCACCTAGAAAAGACAAAGATCTCCCGTGTAGCCTTCAACAGACTTCTGAGGGCAAGTGCTGTTAGCGAGTAGCACCTAGCAAAGACAAATATCCCCCGTGTAGACTTCAACAGACTTGTGGGGGCAAGGGCTGTTAGCGAGTAGCACCTAGCAAAGACAAAGATCCCCCGTGTAGCCTTCAACAGACTTGTGGGGGCAAGGGCTGTTAGCGAGTAGCACCTAGCAAAGACAAAGATCCCCCGTGTAGCCTTCAACAGACTTCTGAGGGCAAGTGCTGTTAGCGAGTAGCACCTAGCAAAGACAAATATCCCCCGTGTAGCCTTCAACAGACTTCTGAGGGCAAGTGCTGTGAGTAGCACCTAGCAAAGACAAAGATCCCCCGTGTAGCCTTCAACAGACTTGTGGGGGCAAGTGCTGTTAGCGAGTAGCACCTAGCAAAGACAAAGCTCCCCCGTGTAGCCTTCAACAGACCTCTGAGGGCAAGTGCTGTTAGCGAGTAGCACCTAGCAAAGACAAAGCTCCCCCGTGTAGCCTTCATACTTGTGAGGGCCAAGTGCTGTTAGCGAGTAGCACCTAGCAAAGACAAAGATCCCCCGTGTAGCCTTCAACAGACTTGTGGGGGCAAGTGCTGTGAGTAGCACCTAGCAAAGACAAAGCTCCCCCGTGTAGCATTAAACAGACTTCTGAGGGCAAGTGCTGTGAGTAGCACCTAGCAAAGACAAAGATCCCCCGTGTAGCCTTCAGACTTGAGGGCCAAGTGCTGTTAGCGAGTAGCACCTAGTAAAGACAAAGCTCCCCCGTGTAGCATTAAACAGACTTCTGAGGGCAAGTGCTGTGAGTAGCACCTAGCAAAGACAAAGATCCCCCGTGTAGCCTTCAGACTTGAGGGCCAAGTGCTGTTAGCGAGTAGCACCTAGCCAAGACAAAGCTCCCCCGTGTAGCATTAAACAGACTTCTGAGGGCAAGTGCTGTGAGTAGCACCAAGCAAAGACAAAACTCCCCCATGTAGCTTTCAACAGACTTGAGGGCAAGTGCTGTGAGTGAGTAAGCACCCTATGAAAGCCGGCACGGCACACGCAGAGAGATACAAAGAGGGGTGGTGGGTGGGTGGTAGCTGAGTGGCCAGCAATCACAGCCTCACCTCCGCGGCGAAGTCGCTGACATCGTACACCTTGCCGTGGATGACGAGGCACAGGCGGCCGGCCGCGGCCCGCTGTTTTACCTCCTCCATCCGCATCAAACTCTCGCCCGCCATCGCCATCTTCCTCCTCCGATCTCTCGCACGGGCCGATTGCTCCGACCACGTGACACCCGGAGTGGGAGGAGTTGAGGGGGTGAGGGGGTGTGGCGAGCTGAGTCACGTGGTTTCCGGGTGTGTGTGTGGGGGGGGGATGTGACGGTGAGAAACCACGTGGCAGAGGTCGCAACCGGGTACCCGATACCCGTACCCTACCCGATACCCGGCTACCCGGCTACCCGGACCGGGTACCCGCTTTTGCGATCCTGGTGCGGCCGGGTACGGGTAGGCCGTGAGTCACTGGTGAGTAACCGTTTGTCACTCATTTCCTAACGTCTTGTCTCTTCTCACAATTCAAGTTCCTAGAATCAACCCACCCACGCCTGCAACATGGCTTCATCCCAGAGGTCGCAATCAGGTACCCGATACCCGTACCCTACCCGTACCCGACCGTACCCTACCCGGCCGGGTACGGGTAGGGTACGGCCGGGTACGGGTACCCGTTTGCGACCCTGGTGCGGCCGGGTACGGGTACGGGTAAGGAATCAAAACCCGTTTGCGACCTCTGCCACGTGGTCTCAAAGTGCACCTGGCCTGGCACGGGCGCCGTGGTGACATCGCCGTCACTGAGGGGGCCGTCCATAAATGACGTCACGCGATTTTGGACGATTTTTGACCCCCCTCCCCCTCGTCACGCGGCGTCACAAAAAGTCAGACCCCTCCCCTCAAATATGACGTCACAAAGCTCTGCCCGCCCCCCCCAAAATAAAACATGCTTCTAATCGCTTTAAACTATTGTCATTGTAGTGCGTATTTAATGTGGCGCTGCACTCTGATGTTGTAGGAGAAAACATTTATATGTATTTAAAGTTGCGCATTTTGATGTGACGTCACATTTCTAAAACCCCACCTCGTTAAAAATGTCTGACCCCCCTCCCCAGGTGTGTGACGTCCTTTATGGACGGTTCCTGAGTGGCAAATGGCGGGCGTTGGTTATATTGGTTGGGTTTGGCACAGTAGGGGGCACAGGTGGTGCATTTACCGGTCATCTCAGTCGACCAACCCATGGTACCCGGGTCTGCCCCGAGACCTTCCTGTCAGCGAGCCTTCTGCACTTCACGTGGCCTCAAAGTGCACCTGGTCTGGCACAGGCACCGTGGTGACGTCACCGTTTATTAGTGGCGAATGGAGGGCGTTGGTTATTGGTTGGTCTTTGGCACAGTAGGGAGAACAGCTGGTGAATCGACCAGCAAGTCATCTCAGTCGGTCAACCCGTGGCACCTGATGGGTCTGTCCCGTGACCTTGCCAGCGGGCGTTCGATACGTCACGTGGCCTTAACGTGCACGTAGCCTGGCACGTGGTTGGGTTTGGTAAAGTGAGGACCACGTGGCTTTAGGGGGATGAAGGGGGATGCGTGTGAGGGGAGACCACGTCATTGGTTTTGTAGAATGTGCAATCAAGCTAAGCCTCACAGCTCGCGATATCATGCGATACCAGATCGACGATAATCGTATCGTCCACACTGGACTGATACATTTTGTGATGATCGTATTGTTTCTTGTAAATTTCGGCTTTTCCGGAGGAAAACATTTCTGGAACGCCGAATGCAAAAATTAATTGTAAGTAAATAGCCACTGTACGGTACCTATTTAATTGAAGCGGCGCTTTAACACATTCCTGCGGAGGGAGCTGGTAGGAACGTCGGGTTGCTCGGTCAATGGCCAGGGTCAACGGCGGCGTGGTGTCTTCCGCAAATATGCCCGACTGTGAGGGCGGGCACAAGCCGGCGTGAGTAGGTTAAACGTTGCGTTTTATAAGGGCACCACGGGGTGACCAGCCCCACCCCTCCCACCCCAACCTTCCCACCACCCAGCCCCTCCCCACCCACCCCCACCCCTCCCACCACCCAGCCCCACCCTCCCCTCCCCACCCTCCCCTCTCCACCCCTCCCATTTTTGGATGCACGATGGACGGACACAATAATCCCCTGTGGGCTGGTGTAACCAGGAGGTTCCTACCAATATAAACTGTTTTACTGGGGTAAATCCCAATGCAATGGTGACAATCGTGACGTAATCGTTCTCGTGACATAGTACGGCGTGATGTAACCGTGACGTAATACGGTGTGACGTATCGTTCTCGTATTACAGCAGCAGCGCATGTGCGAAACGGAGGTGTTCAAAGTTGCAACAGCGAGAAGACTTGTCTCATCCGTGCGTCGAGCGATCTTCCCATTGCAGAGCCGCTCGATTAATCTTTATTCCGAGTACAGAAAGCACAAAACGCAACGCGATAAAAAAAGTCATAATTGCAGCTTTGAAGAGAAACCACCTGATGACGGATGCTTGTGTTGCACCCGAAACGTCGCGATTTGTTTATTTTAACCCACGTGACTTTACCGAAAGAACCAAAGAGTATAGAAACCGATAGTTGATCATCGCGATATCGGGTCTTGTATAGCCGATCGGACATACTACGGCAAACTCCGACACGGAAAGTTGGGCCAACATTATTCGTGCGAATCCAGGACCACGATCGCCATGCGTCGTTTTTCCCAGTCGTCGGCCCTTCCTCCGACCTGGAACACAGCCACCACCACGCCCCCCACTCCACATTCGCAGCGCTGACTCTTTTTAAATCCTTTATATTAAGTTCACTTGCTTGCTTGCGCGCTTGCTGCTTGCGCGCGCTTAAACCGTGCAAATCTTTCGGTCGTGTTTTAACCCACTTCCCGTGATCCATCGAGCTGACATTTTCCACACAGACTCGTTGTGCGTGACAATAAATTTCGTGAAAATTTTTTTCCTAAATTTTACACTTTTTGGGAAAAAAATATTTAATTACCAATTGCTTAATGATGGCAGGCAATCATCTGACCCATAGGTGGCAGCCATCTCAAGCCAGAGGACGAGAGGACTCTAGCCGCCACGCATATAAAGGATTTATAGTGAAAAACTTTGTTTTTACGGGTAAATTTTACCCACCCCTTCTTGAAGCGCATTCTCAAACGCAACATCTTCTTTGTTTTCTTAGGGTTTTTCGGTAAAGTCACGTAGTTAAAAAAAAATTAATCAAAGTAAAATAAAAATAAAATATTTTATTTTTATTTTACTTTTCTTAAAATAAAATATTTTTTTTTTTTTACTTTTATTAATTTACATTTTTTACGTACGTGACTTTACCGAAACAACCTAAGAATAGAATCCTTGCAGTCACGAAAGCTTCAAATCTAGAATCTTCTTTTGTTGATTTCACTCTTTTTACTTGAGCGGATCTCCGAGCTGAGCTCCGCGCCCCAGGTCACCGCTGCCTTCGGGGCGAGT